AAAAAAAAAAAAAAAAAACCTAAGTAGGGGTCCGAGTCTATTTTTCCAGGTCCCCTAAGTTATTTCAATACTGGTAGCATTCTAGTCTCTGCATCAATGCATTTGAATATTTTATTTTACTTATTATTTATTTATTTATTTTTGAGACAGAGTCTCACTATGTCGCCCTGGGTAGAGCACTGTGGCATCACAGCTCACAGCAACCTCCAACTCTTGGGCTTAAGCGATGCTATTGCCTCAGCCCCCCAAGTATCTGGGACTACAGGCGCCTGCCATAACACCCAGCTATTTTTGGGTTGTAGCTGTCATTGTTGTTTGGCAGGCCCGGGCTGGATTCAAACCTGCCACTTCCAGTGTGTGTGGGTGGCACCCAAGCCACTGAGCTACAGGCGCTGAGCCTGGATTTGAATATTTTAGTATAGAGTCCACATTTAAATAAGATCCTGTGGTATTTGTCTTTCTGCATCTGGCTTATTTCACTAAGCATAATGTCCTCCAGGTTAATCCACATGGTTGCCAACAGCAAGATTTCCTCCTTTTGGAAAGCTGACTATTCTGTTGTGTGTGTATACTATGTTATCTTTATCTGTTCATCCATGAATGGACATTTAGGTTGTTTCCATGTCTTAGCTGTTGTGAATCCTGCTGCATTGCACGTGGGGGTATAGATAGTTCTTCAAGAGCCTGATTTCAATTGCTTTGGATATATACTGAGAAGTGGGATTGGCAGATCATACATGGTAGGTCTATTTTTAATTTTTTGAGAAAACTCCATACTGTTTTCCCTAGTGGTCACCCTGTAATAACCTATATGCATATACTCCTATAGTCTTTTACTTATGTGCATATATATTTTTTACATAGTGGATAATCCCGTGACTATTTTTAAATTTTATGTATATGATGAGTATTTTCCTGTGGCCCTTCATAGATTGGCAGATCTATGTTGATTACCTTGGTGGTTCCAGTTTTTCCCTATTTTAGGAATTATTTCATTATTATTATTTATATTATTACAATTAAATCCCTGAATATTTATTTATGCCTTGGGAAAACCAATGATTGGTTGCATTGTCGATAAGAAGTAGGGAAGAGATACATGGTCCCATTTGTACATAAATATTGCCAACTCTCTCTTCCTAATGTTTGGGCTATACTGGTACCAAAAGAGTCTGAGTCAGCCCATTTTCCTTCACCCTGACCTTCAACATAGATGGTGGGATGGTTCAGATGGCAAGTCAGAGGAGTAAGCAGGCTACTGATTGGAAGTTGACCGTTGTACAGGGCCATAATCGCAGACTTTAGGCTCATCAGACAAATTTGAAATCCAACTTCACCACACTAACCATGACTTTGAGTTCATCATTTCTCCTCTCTGAAACTCCATTTAATCATGTGTAAAAATGGGAATAAAGGTATACCTCAGCGATATTGCAGGTTCAGTTGCAGGCTGCCACAGTAAACCGAGGTCCCACAAATGTTTTAGTTTCCTGGTACATCTAAAAGTTATGTTTATACTGCACTGTAGTCTATTAAGTGTACAATAGAATTATGTCCAGAAAACAACGTACATACCTTAATTTAAAAATATTTATTATAAAATATTAATTAACAATTAACTGAGCCTTCAGTGAGTTATAATCGTTTTGCTGGTGGAGGGCCTGCCTTGGTGTTGATGACTGCTGACTGATCAGGGTGGTGACTGACCAAGGTTAGGGTGGCTGGGACAATTTCTTCAAATACTACAACAATGAAGACTGCTGTGTTAGTGGACTCTGCCTTTCACAAAACATTTCTCTACAGTATGTGATGCTGTTCGATAGCATTTTACCCACAGTAGAATGTTCAAAATTGGAGTCAGTGCTTTGAAACCATGCCACTGCTTATATCAAGCAAGTTCATGTAATATTTTAAATCCTCTGTTTTCGTTTCCATGACATCTGCAGCATCCTCATCACGTGAAGAGTCCATCTCATGAAACCACTTTCTTTGCTCATCCATAAGAAGCAACTCCTCATCTCTTCAAGTATTATCATGAGACTGAAGCAATCAGTAGTCTCTTCAGGTTCCACTTCTAATTCTAGTTGTGCTGCTATTTCCACCCTATCTGCAGTGACTTCTTCCACTGAAATACTGAACCCCTCAATGTCATACACGAGAGTTTGAATCTCCTTCCAAATTCCTGTCAATATTGATAGGTTGACCTCTTCCCATTAATGACAAATGTTCTTAGTGGTACATAGAATAATGTATCCTTTGCAGAAGGTTTTCAATTTTCTCTTCCCATAGACATCAGAGGAAACCCTATTTATGGTAGATATGGCCTGACACAATGTATTTATTAAACAATAAGACTTGAGTTGACGGTTACTTCTTGGTCCATGGGCTATAGAATGCTGTGTTCGTGGCATAAAAACATGAACCACCTTGTATGTCTCTACCACAGCTCTTGGGTGATTGGTTGCATTGTCAATAAGAAGTATGTAACATTTGAAAGGCATCTGAGTCCCATGGTGGACTCAAAATATTCCATAAACTATGACATAAACAGATGTGCTGATATCCAGGGTTTGTTCCATTTACAGAGTACAGGTAGACTAGGTTTAGCAAAATTCTTAAGGACCTTAGGATCATCCAGACAGAAAATCCACGGTGAAACATTAGATTCACCCTACACAATAGACCAAAGGGACCTAATAAATATTTACAGAATGTTTCACCCAACAGCTGCAGAACTCATGGTCTTCTCCACAACTCATGAATTAGTCTCAAGGATAGAACATATATTAGGCCACAAAAGAAATTTCCAGAGTTTTCAAATCAAACCAAGTATTTTCTCTGACCACAATGGAATAAAACCAGAAGTCAATAATAAGAGAAACACTGGGAAATATACAAACACATGGAAATTAAGCAATATGCTCCTAAATGACCAGTGGGCCAACGAAGAGATTAAGAAGAAAATTTTAAGGGCTGGGCACTTAAAATTCCTAGCACTTTGGGAAGCCAAAGGGAGAGGGTGGTGAGTCGCCTGAGTTCAGGAGTTTGAGACCAGCCTGACCAAGAATGAGACTCCATCTCTAAAATATAACCAGGTGTTGTGGCAGGCACCTATAGTCCTAGATACTTGGGAGACTGAGGCAAGAGTATTGCTTTGACCCAAGAATTTGAGCTTGCTGTGAGCTATGATGCCACAGTACCTACCAAAGGCAACAAAGTGAGACTTAGTCTCAAAAAAAAAAAGTAGAAAATTTTAAATATCTCAAAACAAATGAAAACAAAATC